ATATATTTTAAATTTTACCTTAATAAAAGTCTTGTATGATGCCTGTGTTTTGCACACGAGAAAATGTTTTCTCTGCTGATAAAGTTCCCATGCAACAACAACAACAATAAACGGACGACTACGTCGAAAAAAATGAAAGGGTATTTTTTTCTCTCTTTTATTATGCACTATATATTTTAAAAGCATTGTCTATAACATCTATTATCGTAATAGGTTATAAAAGGTATTAAGTGAAATGGAATTCATGTATGTAGGCATGAAGGCTTTTAAAACTATTTAAATCTTAAATGACTGCTGTTTATTTCTAAAATTACTCACTACACATCACATTGTAATGTTATATAGCACAAACTCCTCTTCTGTTTATCATAAAAAAATAGCATGAGCTTGAACTTTTTGTTATTTGAAAAATAATAAGGAAGGAATTTTCAAGTTGGTCATGTGAGTTTGCTTATTTTGATAATTGAGGATTTAATATTGAGGATGAGGAATTGATGGACTGGAGTATGGAGTGTAATTCTCAATTTCCTAGTTGTATAAGTTCAGCAATTATGGTCAGAGGAGTAAGTAATTGCAGGAGGTGTATAATAAAGACTTAGGGTAGGAATTTGGGGCTACCAGGTAATATGTAAGTGTGTATACTGGACTATATTGGATGTTAGAAGCAGCAGACCTAGTTTTGAGGACTTCAAACCTACTAAATGATATCATAACTTAGACTGGAATAGGTTTGATATTAGGATATAGTTCTGCCCCACTACTAGGCTATGTTAACGATTTTATATCCTATAATAACTCCTTGATACTGAATTCTAATGTATTTCAATGATACAAAGAGTATGCACTATTATATGCCTTAGTTTTGGACTATTCCTATCCAAATCACTTTAACAGAGGTCACTCATGGGTATACACCATCACATCAAGTGATTTTAGGTGACTCAAAGGCAAAATCCAATAGATATAACTGCCCAAGTGTACACCTCTTCACTAGACACATGAGAACACCTCTCAACTCAACTCATCCCATTTTAAAAGTCACTCATGAGAATATAAATTCATCCAGTAATTGCTTTAGAAACACCACAATAATAATAACAATAATCATCTTCCAGAGCATATTCAATGAAAGAGATTTCAATTATAGACCATCATGAAAGAGACCAACAACAACAACAACAACAAAAATTATGATGCAGAAATATTTCTCTTCATCCCACTCTGCCAAGCTTATTCATGTATGAAATTTCTTTAACTCATCATAACATTCACAATTGCTGATATAAAATCAGAAGAAAAAAAAATTTATTTCCCTACATTTTCAATACTCAAAACTCGCAGGTTTTATATCGTAAAGAACATCATGAGTTCGAGCTCGAGTATGAGAGTATATAAAAATGTAAAGACGTGAATAACAAACAGTAAGAAATGAAACGATGAGGCATACTGAGAGAAAAACTTTAAGGAGTAAATACAACTTTGACAGAATAAATGAGCAAGAAAGAAATAAAAACTATAAAAAAAAAAGATCGTCTGAGAAAGAAAGCAAAAAAAAAGCCATGGCAAGAAGTTAAGTATAAAGCAACAATCTCTTGGTGAATTGAGAATATAAATCATATGAAGTTTGATGGCTCATATAAATATTATTGAAATATTAATTTTCCTTATCCTTATTTTGCATTCTTATTCTCTTCAACTCACATGTAGCGAGAGTCAGCTTACAGAGTATGGAACACATGTTTGAGGCGCTCTTAATAAGGTTTCTTGTTTGCTTGCGCGCTTGTGCTTATGCTTATGATTATTTATTCTTTAAAAAATATTGACAAACTATGTGGATGGGGTGTTCAATTACTTTTTTATGAGCGGGAAAATTATGAATGCTTGGATGTTTGCTTTTAGAGGTATCTACATCATACCACATCATTTGTTGGGCTGTAATTTGCTCGTTTTATATTAAGCATACAATTTTTTTTTAAATTTAGATAGAGATCTTTATAAAATCGGTTCAGTTCTATGCAAATAATATCAAAAAATTTGTTTAATTAAATGAATTCTCTATAAATTAAGGTTAAGTTCTCTGGGAAAAAGTTGGTTAAGTTCTCTGTAAATTAGGGTTGAGTTCTCTATAAATTTGGGTTGAGTTTTCTGTAAATTTAAGTTGAGATATCTCGAAATTTGAGCAGTTTTCTTTTAAGAGTTTGGGTTGAGTTCTCTGTAAATCTAGGTTCAATTTTCTGTAAAAATTTAAGTTGAGTTTTCTGTAAAAATTTGGGTTGAGTTCTCTGGGAAAAATTAGTTTAAGCTCTCTTTAAATTTGGATTGAGTGCTCTATAGAAATTTGGGTTGAGTTCTCTATAAATCTAAGTTGAGATATCTCGAAATTTGGGTTGAATTTTCTTTTAAAAATTTGGGTTAAGTTCTCTGTAAATTTGGGTTGAATTCTCTGTAAATTTGGATTGAGTTCTTTGCAAATCTAAGTTGAGATATCTCTAAATTTTGGTGTAGTTTCCTTTCAAAAATTTGGGTTGAATTCTCTGTAAATTTGGGTTGGGTTCTGTGTAAAATTCTTTATAAAATGTTAATATTATTGGTTCAGTTCTCTGTAGAACAGGTTGAGTTCTCTGCTGTTTAATAAAGCAATCAAGTATAAACAAGTTTCAACTCAGAGCAATTAAAAGATGATTTACCGACAACGTCTATTCAAAACCATAATCCAAGTAAACGCTAATCTTACGAACATCTCAATATGTAATTTGAATACCATGAAATGATTGGAAAAATTCATAGTCATGCGATTATAAATTCTTCTACTAACTCTCATATCCTTCAACAAGAGGCCAATGAGAAGCACTAAGAAAGAAAGGAAAAAAATAATAAAATGAGTAATGCATTAAAAATTGCATTTGTCAATTCCCTTCGGAAATAAAGCTTTTAATTTCTCATTTAATGCATTTTCAACATTGTGGCGAGATCATCAAATTGTAATTTTAATTTAAGGCAAAAATCAAAAAAAGAAAGAAGTGAAAAAAGGCCAACAAAAAATCTTTTCGTTCTCTTACTTATTTTCCATCATTTCATTTCATTTCATGTACTACTGTCTGATCTGCAAATGCATTAAACAGCCCCTCGCATTTTTTGTTATTTTTTTTCCTTTTTTTGGTTAAAGCTGATTTAGTTTTACTGGGTAAGATGAATTAATTGACATATTGCATGATAAAATAGATAATAAAATGAGAAATTTACAAAATGAAAGGTCTCGCTTCATGTCGACAGGCAATAATAGCAGTAACATACCAAAAAGGGCCCCGTTCTGTTTTTTCGTTACCCACAAAAAAAAAGGTAAATAAATAAAGTTTTAAGAGAGCAAGAGAGTAAGTGAGACATCCGAACAATAAGAACCTAATTGAGGAATTACACACGGTAAGAAAATCGCGCGTCTTAAACGGCACATTTTCACATTTTGTTTGGCATCACGAGAAGGAAGGGAGAAAAAAAAATCGAGAGTAAGATTGAAATACCTTTTTATATTTTTATAAAGACACACACACAACTTTTTTTGTGGATCATTTCAACAAGAAACAGAATTATTCAATTAACATTACAATTTTATATGTCCATAAATACTTTTTTTTTCTTAGGTGATTTTTAATGGGGATTTAAAAACGAAAACGATGAAAAATTGATGACAGTCGATGCTAAGATACTTTTAATTAAGTTCGTACATATCTTATTTTGATATTTTTTTCTTTCTTTTTTTCAATTCTTTAAACGAAATTTATTGGGCATATCATGAATTTGGAGGTTTTTGTATTATAAAAAAAAAGAAACAGTCTCTCCGCAGGGTTGGGATGGTTGCATGCGATCCTTTAATGGATTGTGAATGGCTTTGTTGTTACTCAGTCTTTACTTTGGGGTTTGAAATTTTTTTAAAATTAATGTTAATGTTGTGACACATTTGTAATATCCAGATTGTGTCTAGCGTGCATGTTGTGATTTGATAGGCATATGTATGATGAATTGCTATCAACAGGAAAATGATATAAATTGTCTACATGACGTAGAAAAGAAGTCTCTATCTTGATTATCAGATAATCACCTTTGAAGGTTGCAAGTTCGATTCTCTAGCAATCTAAAATCTATTAAACTAGTCCCTTTCTTGATTTTATAGATTGACTATCTACAGTTGATACCCAGACACACACAAAATCATCCTTACAAAACGCAATGACAAATGCAACCCTGAATACCAATAAAAATTCATCCATTAAAAGCGTCTCCACGGAATGCAAATTTTGAGGAATGTACAAAAATTTGAAAGTAAATTAACTGTTATTACATATGTAAAGTAATGAAAATTATTTTCTCCTTTTAACATATTTCTCTCGTCGACGGTCTTTTTGAAAGAATTTTAATTGAAATTTGTGAGGACTTCCCAAACAAAAATATTCTTAACGGTTGAATGAGAGTCTGTTGTTGGTTTGTGGAGGAATGTTCCAAAATGGATGAATATTTTCAGTACAAAAAATACTTTATATCCTGGATTATTGTTACAACTTTCCATCCAGTAGCTTGAATGTCCCGACTTTCTACAGAAATTTCCCATAAAAGATCTAGCACTTGAAAAAAATGCATTAAATAATCGTAAACTTAGACAAAAGACTGTAAAATTTAATTTATTCCACAAATGGTTTCAATAGTCCATCCCTCATGCCTCCTTTCCATTCATGCAGGCAAACATGAATGACAAAACAAAATGCATAAAAAAATTCTATTTTTCTTCAATTAGTTCCGTAAAGAAAGCTTCTGTCGAGTCAAATCTACAGATGTACTTGATGAAGACAACATTGTTGGAATATTATAAAGGTATAAAGAGATACAAAGGTTTGCATAATCACGCACTTTGTATTGTGAAGCATCGAAGCGAATAATTAAAAATAAAAAGAAATCCTTCCTTTTTATTTGATGAGAATTGGATATAAATAAAAGAAACTGCAACTCACCTTTGTGTTTGACGTTTTTGGTGCACCACCAATGGCAATGGCATATACTTCAATTTCATATGTTTCGACACCATTCTCGCGATCCAATTCAACAGCCGTCGATAAAATTCCCAATTTTGTGTCGATGTCAAAGAGACGATCGACTTGTTTACCATTGCCGGTTACATTTGTCACATAATATTCAATTTCATTGCCGGAAGCGGTGAGTAAATGAGCTGACACTGTCAAGATACTCGTTCCGGCCGGTTCATTTTCAAAAACTGTGCCAGTTAATTCTTTTTGTTGAAACATTGGACCGCCACTTGCGGAACTACTTGTTATTATCGTAATATATGCATCACTAGATTTACGTTCACTTTGAACAGCTTCATCAGTTGCTTTTACCGCCAACTGATAACGCGCTTCGGGATTATGTATTGTCTTTCTTAACGATATCGTACCTGTACTACGATGTAACTTAAATAAATCTGTATTTCCACTAACCATCTCGTATGTAACAAGTCCATTTGAACTCGAGTCGGCATCGCGCGCGAAAACATTCATAATCGGTAAGCCATCATGACCTGGTTCAACGCGAATATCTCTTAATGGCAACACAGCTGCATTCATTGATACGAAAATTGGTTCACAATCATTTATATCCTCAACGATAACGGTCACTAATTTTTCAGCTGACAGACGTTGTGATGGTATCAGTGCTTGATCCGTAGCCACAACAATTAAACGGAATGTATCGATTGTTTCACGATCAATTTGACGTTGCGTGTAAATGACGCCCGATGTTGCATTAATTCTAAAATGACCCTGACCAAATGATGGCTCTTGACTCTGTATAGAGTATGTTACTTTGCCATTTAATCCATTATCAGGATCTTCGGCCGTGATCATAATAATCGGTGTATTTATTGGAATTCCTTCACGAATTTGCCTCACAATTGCGGTATTAGGAAAGCTTGGCGCATTGTCATTAAAGTCTATTGTTGTTACTGTAAATATTATTGTTGTGGACAGCCTTGGATTGCCACCGTCTGATGCTGTAATATTTAACGAGTACGTTTGTGTATCTTCATAGTCCAATAACTTGTGTAAATAAAGTGAACCCGTGACAGGATCAATGTGAAATGTGTCACGTCGATTTCCTGCGGCAATTGAATATGTCAACTGACTATTAATACCCAAATCATTATCAGTCGCACGAAATCTTATTAATTCCGTTCCAATTGTTGTCGTCTCAATGACAGATATACTCGTATCCGTTTGCACAAATTCCGGACTACAATCATTCTCATCAAGTACCTCAATTGATATTGTTGTTGATGAACTTAAACGACCAACAACTGCTGCGTCATGTGCAATAACTGTCAGCTTATAAAATGATGTCGTTTCTCTATCAAGCGACTTAACAAGTGTTACTTGACCAGTTGATTCGTCAATTGAAAATTTACCACCTTCATTACCATCCGAGATGTAGTAAAAGACATCACCGTTAAGACCTTCATCAGCATCAAACGTATAGACACGAATAAGTTGCGATCCAATCGATGAGCCTTCTGATACCTGAACTTTATATGGTGATCGCAAAAATTGCGGTGCGTGATCATTTATATCATTTATGAAAATTTTTACTTTAACCTTATCTTTCAATCTTAAAGCACCATTATCTGTGACAGTTGCCTCAAGTGATATGAAATTCTGTCCCGTCGATTGGACGAGAGCTTCACGATCAAATTTTCTCATCGTCTTTATAAAGCCATTACGTGGATCAACTGAGAAATCATTTTCAACATTCGATAACATAAATATCAGTTCTGCATTTCGTCCAATGTCACGATCTGTTGCTGTCAGTTTTCCAACAAATGAATCAATGGGCTCATTCTCAGCAATGTTGAATGTAAATGAACTGTTGGTAAATTGTGGTGCATTATCATTTTCGTCAATCACATGAATTACGACTGGTACTTCCGTACTACGTGGTGGATTGCCACCATCATTGCAGCTTATCGTCAGCGAATAATAATCGCGATCTTCACGGTCGAGATTGCTTTTTACGAAAAGATATCCGTCGGGGAAGATGCCAAATTTATTCTCCAAATTTCCTTCAATAATTTTATATGAGATACGTCCATTGGCACCGAGGTCAGCGTCTGATGCAGAAAGAGCGAAAAATCGAGAATTTACGGGTGTCGATTCCAATAAAGATGTTTCATAAGATGTGTGGTCGAAGACGCATGTGTGGTCATTAACATCCTCAATTGTTATTGTAACTACATTTTTGGATGATAATCGTGGCTCACCACCATCAATGGCTGTAATTTCAAGATGCATGACAGTACCTGGCTCAACACGAATAGGACGATTGATGTAAAGCACACCAGTCGCTTCTGAGATTCTAAATTGCTCATGTGGATTGTATGTGAGACTGTATGTGACTCTGGCATTAACTCCATAATCCTTGTCGCGAGCTCTTGCCAGAAAAATCTCTTGTCCAACAGCTGCATTCTCAGGTATATGAATCTCATCCTTATCACGTGTAAATATCGGCGCATTGTCATTCATGTCTAATATTAAAATATTTACCATTGTCTTGCCATATCCAAGACCCGATCTTGTTTTCCCATATCCGACAATTGTCAATGAATACATCATTGACTCTTCACGATCGATTGCCTTAGCCGTTGAAATGACACCTGTTTGCTCATCAATAACAAAATTCTCATTCGGATCACCATAAACAATTGCGTATTCAACCGGAGCAATGAGCGATGATGTTGATGAGATTTTTGTTTTTCCAACAGCCCGACCAATTTTAGGATTTTCATGTCCAAAGTCTTCATAAATTTGAAACTCATAATTGCCAGGCGTATCAAATTCTAATTCTTCTAATTTCGATTCTCTCACGATCTCAACAATTGCATCTTTTTCTGTCCGACGATCACCACGGTCTTTTGCGGATATGATTAATTTAAATATTGATTTTTGTGACGATCTTAAACTTGACCTTAAACTTATCATGCCTGTCCAATTGTCAACAATAAAGAGACCATCACCGCCACTTTCTAATTTGTAAGATATTAATGCATTGTCACCATCGTCTCGATCAGTTGCTTGAACTTTTAAAATTGACGTTCCAATGGCTGTATCATCTGAAAGCACAACAAAGTAACGCTTTGGATAGAATTCCGGAGAATTATCATTTATATCTTCAACTTTCAAGAATACTGTTGCGGTTGATGATTGCTGTGGAATTCCTTGATCTTTTGCAATTACTTGAATCTCATACTCTGTTATGGTTTCACGATCTAATTTGTTACGTATTGTTAATTGGCCTGTTAGTGAGTCTAGTGCAAACATATTGGGATAATTTTGCTCAACACTCGGATGTAAGACGTACGAGACACTCCCGTTAGTTCCTTGATCATGATCTGATGCTGTTAACATTGCTACAACTGTATGCGGTTGTGTATTCTCGCTCAAGCTAATGTTAATATGTGGCTGTGAAAATTGTGGCTTTTCATCATTCTCATCCAATATTGTGACCTTTAGCTGTGTATATGCCCATTTTGGATTCGGTCCACCATCTCGTGCCGATATACTCAATTCAATTGTTCCTTGAACTTCACGATCAAGCGGTGCCTTTGTTGTTATTAAACCACTTATGGAGTCGATTGCAAACCATTGTCTATTATTACCCGATACGAAATCATAATAGATTTGTGCATTAACACCTGTATCTTCATCGGATGCTGTGATGCTTGCAACAAATGTACCAGGCGGTGCCAATTCACTCAATATGGCTGAATATTCTGATTTTTCAAAAACAGGTTCATGGTCATTGACATCGTTAACATGAATAATTAAATATGCTGTTGCTGTTCGCGCTGGTGTACCTTTATCAGTTGCCACAACAGTTAAATTATATTTACTAATCTCTTCACGATCCAAAACACCATTTACACGAACAATATCAAAGCTTGGCGTCTTGTCTAATCGAAAATGGCTGAGTTCATTACCGGTAATAATTTTTAAGTTCGTCTCGCCATTTAATCCCTCATCCATATCTTCAACTGATACAGCAGCCACGACAGATCCATTTATGGCATTCTCATCAACAGTCGCATAACTTGCCGTTGGTGGAAAATATTGAAATCTAATTTGTGGAGCATGATCATTTGTATCAACTAAATTCACTGTAACATACGTGCGACCATCTTGACGTGGTGAGCCATGATCGCGTGCAAAGACTGTAAAGACGCAAGATTTTGGACAACTGCCACCGAGTTTTGTGAAAATTGGACAATTTTGTTGTGGACATGAGAGGATTTGAGTTGTTGTAATGACACCTGTCTCGGGGTCAATTGTAAATTGTGCTTCCGTGTCTGATAAGTAATAAGTTATTTTTGCATTGTCACCTAAATCGTTGTCTGATGCCATGACTTGGAGAACTGGGGTTCCAGGTAGAACACTTTCGTTGAGTGAGACGATGTAGTCGCTGTGGTCAAAGATTGGTGGCTGTTGGAGATAAATTTTGAAATTAATTAGTTTAATTTTAGAACTTTTGATGCTCACAACTTGCCAAAAAAATTTTTTTTAGGTTAGGGTTTTCAGAAAATCATATCCGACTATAATTATAAATTTTCTGACACAATTATTGCCTTGCCGCCTTTTAAATAATTCCATGCATCAAGTCTACAAGCCTAATAATCAGAAATTATGAGCAGCAACATTGTGAAATCCAAGGGCAAGTGAGAGCATTACAGAAAAATATCAAAGGGTAAACATCAAAAGCTAAAGTGCAAAGGGTTACAGCCAGTAAATCCCTTTCGTGTAATTCGTTGCAAATCAGCCGAACAAGAAGAAATAAAAGCAAAAAAAAATCCTACTTACATTATCATTAACGTCGAGTATCGTGACGTTGACTTGAAGATATCCATTTTTTGGTGGGCTGCCTCCATCACGTGCCGATATATTTAGAACATAAAATCCACGTGTCTCTCGATCCAACTTCCCAGTCGTCTCCAAATGTAAATACGATACATCACCACTGGGATTTGTCGTGACAGCCAATCGAAATTTGTCATCATGATTTCCATCGACAATGCGATAATCATCTGTTACTTTATTTGTTCCACTATCTCTATCTGTGGCAGCATCGAGTAAAAGTCGAGTACCGGATGCGGAACTTTCTGACAGTGACACAGCAATGCTTGGTTCAGGAAATTCTGGTGCATTGTCGTTAATATCAAGCACAATGATTCTAACTTCAATGGGGAATGTTGGCTGTGTGCTATTGACCGCTAGAATGACTAAATCATAACGATCATTCTGGACTACTTCACGATCTAAAACTGTATTAGTCTTAATCTCTCCAGTAACAGAGTCGAGTGAGAATTCTCTCGATGGCTCATTAAATCTATATGTAAATCCAGGCTTTGTAATTGGAATATATCCAACAACAGTTCCACGTGGCTCGCCCTCAAGTATCTCAAATTGAATGCGCGTGTCAACAGCTCTCGATTGCATAACGCTTTCATTTGACGATCGCCTACGTGGAAAAATACCAGGACCTGGTCCCGAATTGCCTGTTACTAATAAGCTCATGCTCGCAATGAGCAGCAGTAAAAATAATTTCCTTAATTTCATCCTTAAAAATTATGTTTTTTTTTGTGTGTACCAAAAAAAATTCGTTCCTTAAAATTTACAAATTAATTATGATATTGCTTATGGGGGCCTCTCGCTTAACTCGTCGCATTTACTTTTTAATGCACGTCATTGTTTTTTTTTGTTGCTGCTTGTTCCTTCTTACTCGAAACGTTTATTATGCAATTTATACATAATTTGCATTTAATGATCGAAAAGGTCCTTAAAAGAATGTTCGATTCTATGATTCCTAAGCTCAAGTTCCTACTTATTTCCTCTCTATCTCAGGTGTGCGTATGCGTGTGTGTGTGTACGAGATGTGTTTCAAATCAAACAAGAAATCATAAATATTATATTAAATAAATATCATAAATAGTCACACACATACAGTGAGACTTGAGGTTCTCTTTCTTTTTTGTTGTTTCGTGAAAGAAAACTGGAATTTTTTTATTATACTTCTACGTCTTGTATGTGACTGTAGCTGAAGATTCTTTTACCAAAGAATTTCTTTTCTTTCTGCTGTTTTTTTATTATTATTTCTGTGGCAAAAGTCTCTCGGCCTGTTTCACTAAAGTGGATTATCCTCGATTTCGGATTATCCACTTCAGTTTTTTGTAAATATCTTAAACTTTATGGGAGGTGTGGTATTTCTAATTTTGGATTATAATAGAGTGAAGTATGCCTGAAATATCTGTACACTTTAAACTTTTACTTTTCGTTAAGAAGTATTAATTATTCAATTTTCTAGCCAAATCTAGTAGATTATCTTCGATCTTTGCTATAATTCTCAAACTAGTGAAGATATAAAAATTCTAAGTTTATGTTAATTTAAGTAGCAAAATACTCTAACTAGATCACACATTAGATTTCTTAATAACCTTAAACGTCTGGAGATATTTCCAAAAAACTGAAGTGGATAATCCGAAATCGAGGATAATCCACTTTAGTGAAACAGGCCGTCTAAGATATTCACACAAATACAATCATTGATTTTGGTCAGGTTGTATGGTACGCACACTCAAGATTTTTTTTTTCTGTTTTCGGTCGTCGATTCTTCGTTGGTGTTGCTCCAAAACAAAAAGGTAAAGAAATCTCTTTTGAAAAATTTTGTTAGAACTCAACGATTCCTGTGTGAGTATGCTGTGTGTATGGATGTGCGGCGCGCAAAAAAACGGTGAGCTGGACGAAGAAGAGAGCGAAACGAAAGAGGTAAAAAAATGTTGATATAAAAGATGAAAAACAAGTTGCAAAGCGAGCAAAAATTGTTTGAATGATGATGGCTTTTCAAGCCTGGGCCCAAAAGTAAAATAAATATGATTCGAATGGAATTTCCTTCTTCTTCTTTACTCTCTCTCTCTCTTTTCCTTATTTTTGCCTGCTTGCTGTAGCACTTTAAATATTATTTTTTGTTAAAGAATATTCGACACTAAAAATTTATGCATGAAATGCAGAGAATCTCATGAAAAAAAAGTCTCGTCGCTGGAGGCTAGTCAAACATATTTTTATTCTCTTGCTTTTTTTTCGAACTTGCACTTAAAAAATATGTATTTAAGTGTACACACAATTTTTTGGTTGTTGTTGCTGCTTTCCAGCCAGAGAATAAATTTTTTTTGCTTCACTTTTTCTTTTGTTCAATGTTTTTTTTAACTGATAAGACTTAAATTCTTGGCTGAAGGTACACTTGCTATTTTGTGGTTCCTTTTGTTACTTTTATCATACACAAATTCTTTTCTATCTTAATAGCGCACTTCCTTTATTTTTTGAGTGAGTTCTTGTGTTCACTGAAATTCTTTTATGGTTATTAATGCTGGAATTTTTATTTTTATTAGCTTGAATTTGAATGAGTCAGGGAGTGTTCTTAGTATATTTTCTGTGTGATAAAACGCGTTAATTTTTGCAAGATTTTCTTTTATTTTCACTTTAAAGCTTTTAAGTTTTTAAATTGAAATTTTGCTTTTTCACTTTTTATGACCTCAAAAAACGCGCTACTTTCTGTTCTTCTTTTAAGAACGCGTTACTTTTCACAAATTTTTACACTTTTTGATTCACAGTCAAAAACTAGTTTGTTTTTTAATGTTTCCTTCACTTTTTCTTGCGACAAACGCGCTAGTTTTTTTACTTTTTGTCACAAACGCGTTGGTTTTAAAATCAAAATTTTTTTTCAAGTATTTTTCACCTTATAATATTAGATCAATTCACAAATCTTCACAGATTCAATATTTCCAACGTTTAATAAACGCGCTAATAAAATTCACAAAACTTCACTTTCAACAGTCTCTAGTTCCTCGAAAATCGCGTTATTTTCGTCATAACATTCCAATATTAAAATTCATATTTTTATTCAAATTATACTTTTTATGTCTAATAATATTTCTCATATCATAATGTTATGCCACAGTCCAATTACACGAGCAAGGAAACATGAAGATTCCGTTTTGCTCAATATTATTTTTTTTCCTCTTTTTCCTTTATCTTCACTCCACTACAATATATATGTATGTATATACACACTCACTGTATTTAACGTTTATTTAATTTAATAATGTTTCTTCGTGTCCTTCGAAAAGTGTAGCTTGTCTTCAAGATCTTGATCGAATTACGTTATATGTGTGCTCTGTTCAGAAGTTATACTTATTTTTTTCTTGCACCACATTTACCCGAAAATATATATAAAGTATTAAAAGAACATCAAGCTACAAATGTTTAATTTTTTTAAAAGATTTTTTTTTTCAGTTCGCGAAAGTGTACCGATGAACAGAACGGACTATATATAATATACAATGTTGCGATGAAATCTGGAAGCATAAAAAGGAAGAGAAAAATAAATAAAAAAATTTTTTGTAGCGCGTTTCTTGTGGGATGGATGAAATATTAATTAATTAATGAAATTATGGAGGTGATGTGAAATGTCGATTTATGATAACTTTTTTTTTGATTTAATGCTTTTAAGACGAGCTCTGCTTTTTGGATGATTTTATGGGGATTTTGTATTCATTAACTCGTGCACACATAGTAGCACAAAAAATCATGAATGTTGCACTTTGATGACTGTTGTAATGAACTGCGAAATGGCTGGAGAAGTAATTATGTTTTAATTACTGTGATCTGGTATGGTGTGTCAAGGGATGGCAACTTCATGGTTTGATATTTTCATTCTTTGTGGCTTTTAGAATATTTATTCAAGTTTATGTGACTAGAAGAGTTTTTTATTCAATTGTAGTAATGATAAACTTATGCTGTTTTGGATATGATTGAATCCTTCGTAAGGATTAGTTTCAAAGTTCATTACCATGTACAACATCCTTACAGCATCATAATGACCTTCTAGCTCTGTAATCGAGCTATGTGACAACCACATTACTCTTGGAATATTCATTCGAACTTAACAGGATATTCAATTAACCTCTAAAAGATGTAGATAACCTCGTTAGATCTTTAAATGACCACTTCTGTTGACGAGAGTGGGACGAGGAGATCTAAAAGTTCTATTTTTTGATCGATGCCATAATTCAATGGACCTATGGCTTACTAAATTAAAACACACTCAATTCTAGCAAGGAATCGAACTTACAACTCAAAGGAAATGAACACTTGAGCTCTACTTAAGTTCACCAATCATTAAGTCACTATACTAGCTTCATCATTATGGACATAATTCCAATATCATAACATAACGAGCTTCAATTCTACATCTTATATTCTAGACAATTCCAATAAATTCTACCTTGATACCCCCAACCACATCCAATCTAAATCTCACACAATTAAAATTTCCCAGAAAAATGCGTAATTCAGGACAGTCAGACAGATCCTCGACAATCTCTAATTTGATAAATGTGCGCAGAAAAGGTGAAAGGGAGAATAAGAAAAAAAAGAGGCAAAAAAATTGTGTAATTGGTGAGAAAAAGGCGGTGGAATTTCTATATTCAATTCTTTCCTTTAGTTTTTCTTATTGAACAAAGATGATCTTTTGACTTTTTGGTATACACAATTGCCAGCAACGACGGCAGCAGCAGCAGTATTAAATTTTGAAAAAATAAATTTTTGAAACAAAAAGAAAATTTTTTAGATTAAATTGTACGTGTTGCGAATATTCATGGATTTTTTTTTATTCTATGCAGAAATAAGAAAAATATTTGTTTCTACATAATTTGATATATCATATATATGTGCTATTGTACATTTGCCTTTTGGCTAGCAAACAGCATATAGTTAATCTTTTTCTGTGAATCTAAAAGTCGTATCCAATTCCACATACTTTTTTTTATACTTCATTTGAATTCTTCTACAGAGTGTGAATTAAAGTTTGTGCCATGAGGAGAAAGATTGAAGTTGATTGGGAATGTAATTAATTTGAAAAATTGAGGTTTTGTATGAAATGAGATTTTTTTTGTTGTAACCCGCATGAATTTTTCGAGAGTTGGAGCTTGGAATGAAGTTATTCGATTTGGATTCTGGAGATTTAAGTGAATTGGAAACTGTCGAGAATCATTAGAGTTTAGTAAATGATTCAATTTGATAAATTTGATCGTTGCGAATATTTTAATTGATTAAAAGCAATTCTAACCTCAATATGTGGTAAAATAAACTCATTTTGTTAATAAGTTTGAAGTGACACTTGATTACGCACTATTGAAAATTTTAACATCAAATTATGAAGACTTAACCTCAAAATATTACAAAATTAACATCAAAATCTTACAATTTTAAGTTCGAAATTATCTCAAAACGTTAAAATTTCAACCTCAAAATTTTGAACAATAATTCAAATTACTGATAACATAACCTTAAATTCATTCAATCCTAACCTCGAAATCCTGAAATTCTAACCTCGAAATCTCTCAATTTGTCACCAACTCTACCTCAAAGTGTCATATCCTAACATCCAAACCATAAATTCATACCATAACTCCCAAGATCATCACATAGTCAAAACATTCCATTAGTTATATCCCCTCATACAATATATCTCTATGTCTCTGAGGAGCCTCTATCTAAAGAAA